ATAGACCTAACAAAGTAAATAAATGTGTTACATCAAATCTTATTTACGATGATAAATCTTTATCACTTACCTTAAAACTCTCTTCAAAATATTGATTTTCCTCTAAAAAACTCGCATAGTTAATTATTATTTGAGGATTAGCGATTTTCAATTCCAATATTCTGTCGTATACCGCTCTAGTAGACTCTACCGTGCCGATACTTTCTTCAAGATCAACATAGAATGACCATAATTTTATTGATTTAAAAACGCGTAGCTGGACAGGTAAACTCTATAATAAAAGAATCCAAGCTAACATCAGAACATTGATCGTAGTATCATATGAATGTTTATATATACGAACCTCATCACGAAAATCTACATTTGGATTACGAGGGGGAACAGTAGCACGGCCCATAACATCTATGGCTTTATCGTAATTTCTTTTAAGAAGGTTAAATAAATAAATAGATGTAATAAACAATTTAATAAATTTTTAAACCTATACGTACTCAAATCGTAGTTCCATCTCAGCATATTCGCACCATAATGTAGCCAAGTCGTTAACATTCTTAAAATCAACATGTATAGCCTTCTCAAAGATCGTTCGAGCATTCTCGATGTCACCACCTTGCTCGTAAAATTTAGCAAAGTTTACCCATAACCCATGGAATTTTCCCGTGGCTTTCTTTGGGTCAATGGTTCTCATTGCCTTTGTATACGTTTCAACAACCTAAAAATGATAATTATAAGATATGAGAGATATATAATCCATAAAAAATAAGTGATTCATTTTTTAAAAAAAAACCTTAGTATGATTGTCTTTCCACAACGCCACTCTTTTTTCCCATTCATGAACGTTATTTGGATTTTGTCTCAACAAGACGTCATTAACCAGAAAAGGTCTACGATCCATCAATTGCTCGAATCGCATCAGCCTTAAATCTAACTCTAAATCTGCTTGCGGATCATCTATTCCATTTTCTGCCCTCTCTGCTGTTTCCTCCATCTTTTTTTCAATGACAGTCTCTTCAGCTTTTGCATAAGTATCAAAGATTTGCGTAAAATCTCTTACAGTCATTACAGTATTAATACCTTCTTCAAATACGTCCCTTGCCTGTAATTATCAATATTTATGATAAAACTAAAATTGTATAAAATAATAATAATCAATTTAACAAGTTACAGACCTTTTCAAAATAGCCTAATTTGATCCAATAATTCGCCAAAGAATTCCACAATCTTCCAACCTGATCTGTAAACCTACGAATTCCACTTCGTATAATAGACTCGACTTTTAAGCTTTTGATTTCATGTGGATTTTCACAAACCAAATCGCAAAGTTCCATCCATAATTGATAGTTGGATTTGCCGGACATTGATTGGAACCGATCGTTATTAACAACCTGAGCAAGTCGTTTGGCAGCTTCATCGTATCGATTAAGTGATAATAACAAATCGATATATTCTTCGACACGGTCTGGTTCCAACTATGATGAGATTCATGCTATATAGTGAGCGAATATCTCTTGCCGAAAATGATTGTATGTCATCTATTGTTGCAGTGGACTATCGCCACAAACCGATAGTCAGTTTTGAAAGTTTTTGCCATAATTCGATGAATAATTGGCAAAACTATGTCCGTAACGTTCATATCGTCGAACCCACCATAATTTATAAACTACTACATACATATCCAATAATTGACCTCCATAATGTAATTTATATTATAGATAAAGAAAACAGTATCTCACCTTAAGATACCTTCGATACAATCGAATCGCCGTTTCACCTCCAATTGATTTAGCAAAATTTAAATAT